TAGTGCTCTCAGTGAATTTGTGTGTCGAACAAGACCACAGTAATGTGGATGGTTTTGATAACAAAGAAGTAGAATAGCAGCCTGAATACCCATATTCTTGCATTGACTAGCCTCTCGTACCTAAAATGCCGTTCTAGAATCAAAATGTGCAAAGCTTTTTGGATATTCTATTATAACTCTTTATGCACTATACAGTGATCAAATAATCTCATTTAAACTATACTTTTACCTTGATAGATTGGACTAGATGATCTTTGTGGTCTCTTCCAACCTGGTATTCTATGATTCTATGAAATGAAAACAAATTCATTTCAATTTAAAAAGGAAAGGAAAAAACGCCCTAATTTCCACGAAGATCATACCCTTCAGGCAAACTGCAGTCCATGTTTACAATAATTATTGCTATGAAGCTATTCAAATAAGTATCACCAACTTTATTCTCTGATTTTCTAAAACACAATAGTGAAATGTCTTTCTGTTTGTACCAAACCTACTGAAAGTGAAAAATTCCTGTCCTGTTGCTTTCTGGGCATCCTACTTTTTCACACCTTTTGTTTTTGAAGGATTAAATGTGTAAAATTTAAAAGGATTAAAAAAATATGTAAAATCCTATGCAAGCCTGCACATTTTTAGTACAGTAACCAATGTTAAGTACAATTTATGTAAACTCATTTTTATTGATGAAAAATCATGTGTCAGTTTAAAAGGTTGCATAATGATTCTTATGTGATGCTTTTGAGTATGGAGTTCAGGGTGGTTTTTCCCTCTTCGGCTCTAACTATTACATAGCTGTTTGGGGAGAAATCACTGCTCTTCTCAGTATTGTTCTCCGAAAGCTGAAATTAAGAAATGGAGGGGGGAAAAGACTAATTTGCACAACCAGTTCTGTTTGTACTTGGCATAACTTGCATAACTTCCACAGCAGTGCTTGGATTTTCGTGAATTTCTAAAAATGTTCAGAGAAAAATCTTAAATCAACTTTACGGAGTTTCCCCTTAACACTACAACAATTTGAGGTGTTCTATCATAGTCACAGGTCACTCCATTGATAAAATTAGCAAGCCTGCCTTTAGCCAGGCAATCCACTCCTGTGAGATTTACTGTTCTGGAATCTTTTAACTGGGAATTCAGTAGCCAATGCTAAGACTTACAGGCTATGAAAAGAATGAGAAAGTAACTATTTGTCTTCTTTTGTAGACAATAGAGCAGCTGAGAATAACTAAAATGTGCTTCTTGATTCTGAAATGTAGTTTTCTTAAATAACAATGAATAAAAGAGCACAGTGGGTTTTACTCTTCAACAACCATTTCTGCTTGGGAACATAGCATGCTCTGTGAGAGTAGACTGGTTACGAACTTGCTAAATGCACCAAACACCCTCTCTTCCAGCAGATGACAGCACCAATACCTGACAAATACTTGATTGCTATTAATGGGATGCAACTGCTTTCTTTTAAATATGATCCATTCATTTATTTAAAAAAAAGAAAATTAGTTGTATTTTAAGCACTCGGGTATTACTGCACAATCTTCATTATTTTCAAAAGTTTTGTTACTTTTTAATTTATTTTTTTAGTTCACATTTTGTCGCTTTTCTATTGATAACAATATGCACTCAATGAAGATATGCCTCTTTCTCAAGCCATCAAAAGAGGGTGTTTACACTGCAGTAATCTGTGTTGTCTGAGATCTCTCTATATACTTTAGTCTTACAAGTTCCTATATCCTTGAGACTGAAGAGCAGAACAGACTTGTTGAAACACTAGTGAGACCATTAAGGCATTTCTGACATTATTTCTTATGTTTCCTGATTCATACTTCTGACTGGCCTCTGCTTGTGATACAGCTGCACTTTGGAGGTAATAAACACTCTACAGCTCTGTCTTTTACTACCAAAAATATCATTCTGATGATATACAGGAGTAGTTACTGATAGTATCTTTCATTTAGATTACAATATTGTGTAGAAAGAAAGCACATAATACAATACATACAGACCATAAATATCAAGGAACACAAGATAAGCAATCTCTTTTTCCTCTTTAGGTCACTTGGGAGCCCTCCAAAACATCAGGGTTACGACTAGAGTCATGAGAAGGAAAGATCAGTGAGCTAGTCAGAATAAGTATCAAACCTACTGCTTAAAACACCATAAACATAATATACAGCTCTGAAGTGTTTTGTGATGACAATATTAAAAATCTACTAGATTTCAAGCTGCCAAACTAGCTTGAGATTTACTTAAATCAGTTTTTTGTCCTGTGCTAAAAAAATAAACACACCAAAGACACTGAGAGAGTGGCTTTCAGACTTGTAACATAGATCAGTCTAGATGAGCCCCCAAATAAAAGTATAATTCAATACTCTAATTATAGCTAAACATTAAGAGGTATTTTTTTCATATCACTCATTGAAGGACTCAGAAAAAGCAGAAGCAAGCGAACAGTTTTGGTAATGTGGAAGGGCTCTGAACCACAAGGAGATTTAATCAAGCTGCTAACAGCACTTTCTACTCACAGGAAGAAGGTACTCTGACAGGAATGCATGAATGGATGTCTTGAAAACAACACTTATGATGGTGTGAGCTGAGAAATATTCTGCAGGTCTAAATCTGAGGCAGTAGGAGATGATCGATATATGAAGCAATGAACCACCACAGAAGAGATAGGTTGGTTCTGAGAGGTTAGGCTAGACACAAGTTATAGGTAAAAAATTGAGTTCAGTTCCTGATCCTGAAATAGAAATATAGTGTGGGAGGCCTGGAGGAGTCTCTTTCATATCTGGGGTTGTTTGTTTTTTTCTGTGCTAGAGTCAGTATCAGTACAGTAGTAAAATCACTAAAGACTTCCTGACTAAATATATAGAGAGAGGAGTCTTGAAACCAGATGGTCTAAATAATATTTATATTTACACTTGGCAGGATGGAAAGAATCTTTGAATCTTATAATCAGGAGAGAAAAAAGAACCCAAATCAAACCAAACCATGAAAATCCTTGCAGTGTTCTACTAATGTTTTATTTCAGAGTTTCTACAATCCATTACAGTAGATTTTTATTTCCCATAACAAGCAAGACTGGACATCAAAACCACCTACTACATTTATGGTCTGCACTTTCTGTGAAGGTAGATGAACATAGGATGCCTATTTTCCAGACATCTTTGCTCTGACATAGGCAGTTTTCTGAATATCTGTGTCTCTCTAACTCTTCACAAAAGAGAAGCTAGAACTAGCAGGAGCCAGTAGATCCCTCAGTTTGAAGAAATACAAAAGCTAAAATCCATTGGCTTTATGTAAAGATCCGAAAGGAAGGTTGCAACATGATCTTTGCAAGTACATAAGAGAATTGAAAGCCCAGCTGGCCTCATTAAAACTTGTTTCCTTTCCCACTTGTTTCCTTTCCCTAGAAAGCCCAATATGACAGAATATGTTTTTTGGACAAGTCACTCTTTAAATCTTTAGAGAGCTTGTACGCATATTTATGCAAGTGCTTTCTGTTCTGTTGGAAACTGTAATTTTCTTCTAAAATTTTCTTTCCAGACAACTATTTTCCAAATTTTCTACATTTTTATTCTTCAGTGAATCAGAGTCAAATGTATAAAGGAAAATGAGACAACAATCTGAAAAGTATCAAGTAAATCTATTCTGCTTTTAGATAGGATTCAATTTTTAAAATATATGTACACTTGTATCAAATTATTTTGGGATGTCTTTATATTAGAAGAAGAACTAAAATGAAAAACTTTCCAAATAGAAGACAAAAGAGCAACTTTAAGGGATGAACAATCGAGTAGAACAGAGAAATAGACTTTCTTCAGGATACTAACCTGGAGATGTAGCCAATCTTTTATCTGCTTTCCTTCTCCTTCCCTCAAATCACCAATGAAAAATATCAAGCAAGTGAAATATAGTCTTAATTTAAATACTACTTTGAAATAAATATAAAATCTATCAGAGCCAAGACATCTATTTTGTGTTCTAAGCAAATCAAGAAAGAGTTTTTATGCTTTTGGTTTTAAAAAAATATCTTCATGAGGTGACTCTATAATTGCAGTTAAAAATTAGAGACTTTCAATTCTCATTATGAGACTTCATCATGCTTCACTAATCCACCTTCCTGCTGGATTTTGGGTTTCCTGCTTCTTTTGGGTTGTTTTTTTCTAACTGCTCACCAAAGCTATGGCAGCATCCCAACATGATACATCACGAATCAGTGAAATCAAACTCAAGTATTCTGAACTATGAACAAGACTCCAGGGATCTCTCACATCACACACCAAAAGTATTATTATATCCCTCTATTAATCACTTAACAAATGGGTGAAAATCTCTGTTGTTTGTCTAAAGAATTGTTTGTCTTATTGGAATTTAGTAGAGTTTCATAAAATGTTTTTTCACAGTAACTTCAAGATAAAAACCACTGTGGTAGTCTAACTGAATCTGTAAGTTCACATGACATTTATGAAGCTTCTATTATTTACTACCAATACAAAGAAATACAATTACAGGTACAACATCATTAAAACAGACTAAAACATTTATTCTGATTTTTATATGCAAGTAAAATATTCAATTTCAATTACAACAGGTAAGTTTTATCATTTCCACTTATTAAAGAATAGAGGATTAAAAATAACAGTTCAAAAAGAAAAATTTAAAAACTGATCAAAGAAAATATGCTGACTTTGAATTTAGACTCAGTATTTATAGACAAAACATAAGAGATTTCAACAAGTCTGAGAAAGAAATGCATCACACTACAATCTAGAGAAACAGCCCAAATTAACAGTTTGCTGAATAGTGCCATGTTAACTTTTACAATATCCCACAAGGATACAATGAAGTAGAATTAATTTTATATACCTTAAAAAATAAACAGGGGAATTTATAAACCATTGCTTTAAAATGTATAAGCAATGAATCTAAAGTTTTCTTTCAATAAGAAACAACTGAGATGTTTAAATGATTCTTAACTTCAAGAGTTAATTTAATGAAGTTTCAGATTACTGATGTTTCAAAAATAAAGCAGCACCACATTGAATCCACTGGTCTTGGTTTCCTCCACAAGGTACATCAATATTTGTTACCACATGGTCTCTCTCCACGCTAGTGTAGACTGGTAAAGATATACATTCCTCTGGAGAATACGGACCATATGCATCCTGCCAACAGACAAGGACTTAGTTATCACTTAAACAGACAACAACACATGAAAAAGGAATACTCTCCAATGACACAGAATCTAAAGCTGGATCCTAAGATATGGTTTAGACACTGCAGCCTTAGACAGGCTACTCTTGGCCCCGGCTACAAATGAGAAGGACTACTAACAAAGCAGAAACTTCAGAAAATTCACTAGACTGTTCCATAACTAAGCCTCTACCTTTTCTCTCCAGTTCATACAACTGAAAACCTTCTCAGTCCCTGCAGCATAAACCAGCTGCTCCTCCTGTAAGGCAGCCCCAGCTGTGATCTGCCTTTTAGATACTTACAAGTGGGATACTTCAGGAACTGCACCAAAAAACACCTTACCCTACAGTTCCCAGGCTACTTTATGGATTTAAACAATGATTTCTAACATCAGTGAATCCAAATATAAAAATTGTTCCCTGATACAGACAGAACTACTATACCTTACATGAGAGCCTCACAGGGCCCCTACTTAATGCAGGATATGAAGAGGAACCCAGGAGTATTAACCACAATTTAGTTAGACCAGGACTTCGGGCAAACAAACAAAAAACCTAAATTACCTAGTTCTTTCCATACACTTATAGCAAATCAAGACATGCAAGCATATGTTAAAAGTTACATTATTAGTAAAGAAAAAAAAGCAGGTTTGATGACTTTTTGATTCTTTTTAAATGCCCCTCATACTAATACTGATCACAGTCCCAGTTGGGTTTTTTTGGCACTTCTGGAAAACCAGCCATTTCCATTAAGTGTCTAAATAGGAAATGATTAAGTTAACTTGAAGCATTCAGATTTGAACTGAGTGCTTTGAACTTCCAGCTAAATTAATTTATAATTTGTGTTCTCCTATACAACCAACTGTGCAGCATTAGCAGTGCTACTATTACAAAGATGAAAATTACATCGTAAACATTACTTAGGGAAGGACCTTAGTTGAAGCCATGGCTTTACCTCTCAGTCTGTATCCTGATGAGCAAGCAATGCTCTACACCGAGAACAGCAACAGCTCCTCTCTGCTTTCTGTACCACAAACTGTGGGCACCTTGGACGTAGTTTTCTCCTAGGGCTTTACACAGGTCATTGTCCCTATCCCTGAGTGCAGAACTGAGCTCAGAGACTCAGTCTAGACTGCCTGAAGCATGCAAATTGAGTTTCAATGCATGGTGCATTTATTTAGTTTCAGTAATTCAGGGTTTGATTCAATTTATACCTATTAAGCATGTTTTTGTCACACTCAAAATCTCACTTCCTGTCACCAGGAAAATGTCAGAAGATTTTCAAGAATAAAACATCAAAGCAGCACATTCGTCAGAAAGGAATTTGAAATAAAAATGAGTGTATTTTAAATTCAAATGCGAGTTAGTGAAGCTTGAATATTAGAAAATAACTAAAACCAGGAAAAAGGAAACATGCAAACAATAACTGTTTCAAGCACTTTTCCTTGGATGTCAAGTATTAGCCATTTCTGAAAAATTTTGCTGTTCCTTATGAAAATCAACTTCCCATGTCTTTTGGCACCAGTGTTTAAATCCTTACAGAAGGTCTGTGCACTGTAAGAGTTGTATAGAATAATTTCATAATCAGAAGTTTGTCAAAAGAACTCAGCTGCTCTCAGAAGGATTATAATTCCTACATTTATCCGTTGGTTAACACTACTAAGGAAGACAAAATGCTGGCCAGTCCAAGAGTAAAACGTTAATCAGAGAATTTAAGTTTTGCCAAAGCTGGGAGGCCAAAAGCTGGCCAGTTGGCTGTCAAAGACCTCCGTTTACACTTTTCGGGTCAAAATAGTTGTTCTCGTGCCTTATTCAGTCCCACTGATGTTTTAAGGAATCACGTTATTTGAGGTTTAAAGCTATTCTGTGAACTTCTTTTTGAACCACATATCCTTATGTCCTTGGCTTAAGCACGGTCCAAAAAATTCTCTTTGTCTAGACTGCCTCACACACGGCTCCATCCCCTTTAGTGACACCCTCCACAGCTTGGCATGTCAGTGAATTAAATCTGGAAAGGACCTTCACAAATTAATGAGAACAAGCATCATGTTAGCAGCATTTTGAGGGGGTTTTCTCAGAGAAATCCTGTAGGCTATTTTTTTTTTCTCCTTAAAGTATTCACTTTATTTTAGTTTGGTTGAAAACAACCTCAAAGCATTGAATCATAAATACACAGATTTTTGCTCAATAGATTTCATAAGATATATTTATGGGGAAAAGAAAACAAACTCAAAACCTAGGAATCCTAAGATAGTATGTTCTACATCATGCACACTTCTCCTAAGGAGAGGATAATAAGATAAGGGGAAGTACATCACATACTGATTCTGCCTCGGTTTCCAAGCATTTGTTTGTGGTCAATTTTTACAGTGAAGCCCATAGCATAACAACTTAAAGGCAGAGCAATTCAGAAATGCTCTCCTTAGAGATACTTTATATTAAAAATCTGGGCAGTTGGCAAGTTTTGGCCTGTGTTTTAAAAGAATTATATTTTTGCCAACACAAAGACTTCAATTGCTATTCATTGTAAATATGACAAACATTGGAAGAAGTTGGATTCACTGATTATTGAACTATCTCACTTCTATGTTTTATAGACAAAGCTCTCTGCTGATGTCACATATAACTTCTAGATCTTATTTTCGAAGCTTACAGAATATAGACTGTTATTCAGAAAAACACTTAATAATCTTACACAAGATAAACATTTTTCAGAAGAAAGAGGGGTTTACTTACAATCCTCATTTTCAGTGTGCACAAGATAAACACTTGGTGTTACCATGTAAAACCATGTATATCCCCCACCCATTACTGACTCTATATACTAAGATGTCTGGCAATTCCATATTTATCCCATGCACCAACTTTCAAGTAAGTTAGAAATCTGTTTATTTCTCTGAACAAAACAAACCTTGTAAATCACTGAAGAACTGAAAAATCTTTCACTGTTCAACTTTGTAGTAGGTTTTGTGGTATGGTTTTGTTTTACAGTTTGGGTTTTTTTAATTTGTACTATTTTCTTTCCCATCAAAGCTGGGAGCAGTACTGCAGATGGTGGCTAGTATTTACTAGTGTGTTCAAAGTCTAAATCTTGAAAAATATACTTCTAATGCTGTACTATATTATAATCCTATACTTCCAGTGCTGGAAATAACATTGAGAAAAAAAAATGTTGAGATACAACAGTGCGTTTGCAATGGAGCTCCTTGCGCAATGTCTGTCACAATATACCACAAATCTCATCTACTTCAGTCCAGTGAACTTTTTTCTTTAACATTCTTCTAGCCAAATCGAGCCTTCTCAAGAGAGAATTCTGCAGACTTCTCTGCATTGCCAAATAACAAAATCCTCCAGTTAATAAATTGATTTGCTTGATGAGTTAATATCTACATTAGTGATTATATTATTTCTCATTTTTCATATACTGCTAATTTTATTTATTGTGGTAAAGAAGTAGAAAAAACCCTGCATACATCCCTATTTCTTACTTTCTGCATTTACACTTGATTTCTGATGTAAAAGATTCAATATATTTCCTTTTAGATCTGTGTGTGAGGTTCTTCTCACCTATCTGTCCCAGAGTTAGCAGTCTAGGCTGTCTCTAGAGTCACAGTTAGGCAGAGAATTACTTCATCACAGGATGGCCTTCCTGAGATGCTTGTCTTTTACTGGGATCAAAGAAGGAGCTAAGTCAACTCAATCATACTGGGCAATTAACTTTTAGACAGATAAATCTAGATGAAATGAATTTTACAATAAGTTTTCTGTTAGTTATAAGATGGTAAGTACATTAATTTGTAATTCCTATACATCCTTCAATAAGTTCTGCATAACTTTTTGCTTTATTTATCAGAAATTACTATTATAATTGGAGAGCAGAAGCAGTAACAATTTTTACTGTTTGTATTACTTCACTTTCATCTTACATAGTTCTGCAAGCATTGGCATTTTTTTAAATTAGTGTAAGTATGGGAAAGGCTTTCTTTGCTTGCAGATCACATCATGTTCTCTGTCTTATTATTGCTGTTGCATTTTAATTTAATGTTTAAAATGCAAAGAAAATATATTCTAGGAGTTAACTCCCAAACACATGTATACGTTTAATAGATGCACTTTTGAAAATATGTTAAAGTATTTTAAAAGACAAAGGAAAAAAGGTATGACTGAAATAAAGACCTTATCTTAATCTAAACAATAAAAGCTAAAAAATATTGATGAAATTATAATAAGTTCTTGCGCTATATGAAAGAAGTAACTGCTTTTCCTATTAAAGACAGGGATTTTTATTCTGAAACAAGGCTGAAAACAGGTCAGTAACATCATACTGAAAAGCTACTACACAAAAAAATGAAAATTATGGGTCTTGAAAGTTTAAGGCTTTTAATAATTTAGTACCTGTGGAATCCAGGCCATGTAACAAGGGAGAACAGATGACACACTGGGAGAATCATGCAGATTTTCTGAAAGTTGATTTCCATCAAAACTGCAGCCTTCCAGTTGCAAGCCACTGATCTGCCGTGGAGATATAAAATATTCAAGCATACATAACAGACTTGACATGTCAGTAATGATTACACTGTGCTTCAATAAATGACGATCCTTTGTACTGTGACAAATTTTTAAATAACAGGAAACTAATTATTCTCATGTTCTGTGTGAGAATAGGAAACATGATTTAAAAGCAAGATCTGGACCACACTTGGGCATGAACTTCCTCCGATTTAGATTCACATTCTTTGAAATGTTAGAGAAAAATACCTGTGCATGCAATCATTTATGAAACTGCAGTTGCCTGGCATTAGATTAATGGAAATATGATAGCTACAGCCAAGTACACAATCATTACAATGTCAAGGAGAGAAGAACAATCACTGAAATAAGCATGCTTTCTGGCTTGGAAGTCTGAGTACAGCTTTCAAAGAATGGAATGCGTGATTACACAGCTTCTGCAGAGGCAAACAAAATACATGGAAATAATATAAGAGAAAAACTTATTTAACATAATTCAAGATTTCTTAGGTAAACTATTATTTGGGAAAACTAAATAAGAACCATAGATGCTTCTATAAGTAACCATGCAATGCTTTATATGTAACATGTTCTAAGTGCTTTCTTTTAATTAACAAGTACTTTCAGCTTCTGAACTAAGCATTCACATTTTTTTCTTCATTGAAGCCTTGCATAAATTAATGACAATGACATCTATTCTGGATTACTTCCAAATGAAATTTTCAGTATCTGTTGATCATTTTATTTTACCAGTACAAATAATACCGATTTGACAGTATAAATAATAATAAGTCAGTTCGGCCTGCTGCAGTGAGAACTTCAATTCTGGTAATAATAAAACTAAGCTCAGTAATAACTTTCATGCAGCTTTTCAAAAGGCTAAATCTTAAACTGAAGAAGATGTGTAACAGAAGCAACAATCTGAAAATCATCTGTCTATTATCATACTAAAGCCCTGAATTAAATACATAATACTGAGATAGGCTTTCACTAAACACAAGGTTCAAAAAGCAATGCTGAAACGAGGAACTACAATGCTGCTGGAAACTGCATGAGTGACCACATAATCAAAATGGACAAAAGTATCACTTTCTAATAAATTTTCTCTTGCAATAAAATTTTCAAAGTGCACTAACATTTAAAAAGTGGTTGAAGTCTGACATTACAGTGAAGATCTGTATCATAGAAAATGTGATAGAAATAATTTACTTAGGTAATTACAGTACTCTAAAATTATTTATTTGACAAGAAAAGTTGCAATTAAACCGTAACACAATGAGGATTACTGTCATGCTTGAAAAGTAATGCTTTCCTCCAAAGTGTTGGGTTTTCTTTATCAATACTCTACTAACTGTATACTAGTTAAGATTATGTTTTGCATTTTTAATAAGTAATTATTCTTTTGATTGCAGACAGACATTGCAGTTTTCAAAAATCTGCTTCTTTAAGGTCATGTTTCTGTTCTGACTCTGAGCTGAGGACTCTTCCTTGCAATGTGCAAGATGCATATATACATATTTTAACGTGAAAAAAAGATTATATAAGATTGCATTTTAAAAAGCTATATAAAAAAGCTGTTTGACCTTGGACAAGACAATGACCAGAGAAGTGGCAACATTCTTTGATACGATCTGTGCTCCATGCAGAGTAGGACTCACAGTAAAGCTGCCAAAACTCTGGATAACCTGAACCAAACAACCCCAAATGGAAAGCTGAGAGGAGTATGACTTTTTCTTTAGTTTTAACTTCCATAAATTATTATGACAATGTCTCAGTGAAATGAACTAAAATTTTCAGACTTTCTATTTGGAACTTCAAAAACATTTTTTTCTCCTTCAACTTCTTGTCAAAAGCTCACGGTCTTTTCTTCATTATGGAAGTGTGACGCTCCTCTCCCTTCTCCTGTCAAGTTTCTTTGAATCTTCCCTAAGATTTTTAGGTCTGTTGCCTTTAAGGTGCAGTGTTAACATTTGATATTTTGTACCATTTCTTTTCAAACACAAAATCTCTCCACACAGAGACATTTTGGGAAAAAATGGCTTTATCTGGTAAAACAGAAGTTTGGGTGTCAATAGCTTTTAATGATAGCATATACACATTCCAGTGCCAGTTCTTCTGTCTTGCAAGAATAAAGAATATGAAGAAAAATATTATAAAAGACACAAAAGGAACAAAGTCTTACTAATTATTATACTGAGGTTTTCCCCCAGACTCCTTCCTACTGCTCTCTGTTGTTCAGATTGATTCTTAAGACCTCACTTTATTATATGCACAGGTCCTAGATTACTCTTTATGTCACTACACTTCTGATTGAATGCTTTCAAAGCTCTAATTTATCCCTATCACACAGACATTATAAATATCCATCTCATATGTTCTTCTTTCTGCCCTTCCTGCATTCTTCAGGGAATTTTGTTATGGAGCTCAGCGTGACAAATATGTGACTTCAGCAAAGTTATTGAGGGGAGACTGGTCTGATGAACAGGTTTTAAAATTTATTGTTAGGATGTTCAATGGTCTGGCCATCCTGAACATCTCTAAAGGAAGTTCCTATAGAAGTGGGTCACCTATTGAAAAAACTCTTTCTACTGCACACGCATTTCTTCTTTTGATATCGGCAGTTCCTTTGACATTGTAGTTATGTAAAATAACATCAGTTGATCTCCTCAAAACTTTAACCAATCATAGGAACTCCTCTGAAGATGAAGACCAACTTTTTTACTTTCATGCAGCATTAAAAGATACTGAAAAAAACCCAACATTGGAACAATGTACTTTCAGGTACTGCTGACCTGAGTATAGACATAGCCATGCTCTCATTTCTGTGGTAAACTATGTACAGAAATTACAACTTCTACAAAGGACAGACATGGATTTCACAGTATCTGTAATTAGCAGGCATAGTATTTTTGCAACTCAGCTCAGGGTATTTGGCATTTTGCAACTATCGTTACTTGTTTAGTTTCAAAAAAGCTATTATTACACATTACAGATTATATTTCTTTAAAACACATTTGTATACAGTGTGCTGAAACCATGGCCAAAAACATCTCTGTTTCCAAAATTTCAAATACTCTGCAATTAATTTTCCTTGCTATTTAATGCCGGGAAGTAATATTTTCATTTCATTATCTCCACAGGTCTCCATCATTAATTTATTGATTATTTCAGGATGGAGGTATGCCGTAAAAAAGACTTCTCAGGATGCCCAATAATAGTATTTCTTTCAATTGCTAAGAGTATAGTTTTGATATTATTGCTGATATTATGTATTTGAATATTATAGTCTTGCAATAAATTTTTGTTTTGCATCATTTATATTAAGCTCTATCCAAGCTCATAACTTACTACCCAAAAAGTCTCGTGTCACATACCTTCTTTTCTTTCATTATTTTCTATAGTAACAGAAAATGGAATGCCAAAAGCAATGACTACCTGCTTTTGTACAACAGCACAATCAATGCACAAAGCAAATAGATGTATTTTGCATATCAATTTGTGATTATATCGCAATAGCTATACATTTTCAGTACCTTTTTTAATGCAATCTGAAGTTACATTAAAGATGTAATTTCTACAGATTTATTCTAAATCAAATATTCACCACATTCTATCAGGAGAGATCTAATCCACATCATCTGTCTAAACTATTACCTGAAAAAAGCGCTAATTTAACGTCAGATTTGATAATCCACCCGGATTCAGGTGTATTCTTGGCCTGACTGAGTGTTCCTCTGCCTACTTTATAGTTATCCCGAGATTTCTAGTACTTCATACTTCTGACTTTCAGATGATTACAGGGCATATTATTTGAAATTGTTGGCACACAAAGATCATTTCAAATGTCTACAATTGCTAAAGAATTATGTAATTTTTAAAAGTACAGGAAGTCTGAACAAGCATTTTCATCATAGTGAGATTTCTACCTTTTTTCCTTATCAGAACAAATGCTAAACCATCAAAAATATTTAAAATAAAAGGCAAGGAAAAAAATCCCAAATAACATGTCAGTGAGACTAGAAAAGTTACACACAGTATGTATGTATCTCAGGTTTAAATTCAATGTTCATTCACATTCCTAATTGTTCCAATCTTTCAAGAAAGATATTCTACCAGTATAATTAAATATCCATTGAATCAAGGACTTGAGCATGACTCTCCTTAAAACAGAGTCCCCCAAATATCTGAGTACAGAGTCAAGTCTTGGTGAAAAAAGTCACACAGAGTGAAATAGCACCATTAGCATGGATAAGGACTGATAAACCTCAGAATTTCCCATACTATGATTTGGTTCTTGTAGGGTATGTGAGAGATCTAATTTTAAATCCGTACTCATGTGAAGAAGGAACATGCATTATCAAAAAATTCTATTTTCTGACTAAAATAAATCATATTTACCAGGTCAACCAATTATTTTATCACAATGATTCTGATAGTTTAAAGATTTGTCTTACATAAGAGAGTGGCTTAGCAAAAAGAAATGAATGCAGGTTCATGACACTTCACCAATATTATCTGAAGATCTGGCAGTGGCCAAGGGGGAGGAAATCAGCAGAACTGGGTATAATTGAGTTTATCTTATAGACACAGAGGTGTATGATCAGACAGGTTCTAAACTGAAACACAGTAAATCATAATGAAAAGAAAATTTCCAAAGGGAACAAAAAAAAAAGTATATGGGCAGACACAAAAGTACGTCTATGAAGGTATACTATTAACTACGTACATATTCACTATGGACATTCAGTTATCTTATTCTGTGCACAACTAAAATGGAAACTGATCTCCTCTTGCTTATTGAATTTTTAAATATGAAAAAATGATTAGTAGCCTTATCTGCAAACAGAAGGATATCCAATGAGGAAGTAACAGTTAAATATAATGCTGAAATACACAATGTCAAACTTATGGTGGCTCAGTTCACTAAGAATCGGATGTATTTAACTTGATCATGTGTAGTCTAAACCAGGAAAAGTAGACAAATTCTTTTTTCTATCACTTTCCACCTTACTTTCACAAAATACTGTTGTGACTACTACAGCTTTTATTTATTTATTACAACTTGCAAGGAGTAAAAAGATAACTGCTTGCTTTCTCCCGTTTCTGCAGAATTTTTTCTCTACCAGTTTTGAAGCTGTATACCATTAACCAGCCTTTGTATCTCAAGTACACCAATGTATTTACAGCTTATTTTTCCAGAAAGTTTATGGACAGATGACTTGGACTACGCTAATAAACATCCTCATAAAATTGTAGTAAAACATCCTACTAAAATACCTTAACTTGGAGTTTGCCTTCCTGTATTCGTCCTTTCCATGATGCTGTAAATTTAAGGCTGTCTACTGAACAGCTCATTACTCTGCGAAGGAAACACATATACAGTAAATCTTAGAGATATATAACAACAGGAAATTCAATAACAGCAAAACCAAAACCAATGTTTTTTCAATGTGTACCATATCATACTAAGTCTTACTTTGAAGAAAAATACATCTTTAATCTCATTTAAAAAAGAAATAATCAGCACTTAAACAAGTAATTCATAGCTATTCTACTTCAGTGCAAGTAATAAAGATGAAACAACTAATGACAGCAATTCACACAATTTGTTGGATCTGTGTTCTGAAAATAAAATAACCATCTTCATGCATAGGTAACACTGGTGCATTAGCACACATAAATACGTAGATTATTTTTCCCTCACCTTGCAGTCTCCTGGCGTAAGGCATTGAGAAATGTGTCTGGATGAAATAGCTCTGAAAGGTCAAGGGTGTCTGAGAGCAGTTGCTGTTTCTCTGCTCTTTCTACCCAATTCTGAAAAAAAAAACAACCAAGCCCAAAACAAAGACTTTAAGTTATTGCCTAATTTTTCAACATTTTGAGTTAAACTGGTTTTGTCAGTTATTGTGATTAATGAAAAATGTTTCTGTAAATATACTGTAACTTCAAAGATATTAATTTCAATTATTTCAAGCTGCTAAACAGAAGAATAACACTGTTTAAAAGTTTTCAAAATACCAGCAGTTTATGTGCAATGTGGCTCATCTATTCTAAATAAACTTCTATTCCATTCTTTGTACTGTGTGGCTCACTTTGTACAATGAAACTTTTATCAAGTTTCTAACATTCTGTGGAAACCCTATTTCACCTTTACTAACAGGAGAATTTATATTTTCTCATCAAAATGGTTGTCATTACTGTCTTTGCTTTACTAAGTTTAGGCAAATAACTGCATTGCTTTCAAGTATGCTTTATGATTATTTTTCTGTGTAAACTGCATATGAAATTCAAGAAACACTTGATTTTCAATCTGCAGAAAGAGTTGCTGTAAGTTCCTACCAACAATTTATTTGAAAATATCTCTTAGCATTAGGTTGATGCTGCCATTTTTATTGTGTGGAGTTTCAAAAGATGTTTCAGACATATTAGCTTGAGACATGAATTCACAGAATTTCTGGTAAGATAAAAACTGGCCTCTGTTATATTTTGCAATAAATGAAACCAATAGAGGTGAGGGGAATAACTGACTTCAATTATCCTTACAGAACACATGCCCCAACCCTCTTCTTTCACCATCTTACATGCAGCTATGAAGCCCATCACTAGGAGCAGCAAGCTTGGCATTTCCCAACAACACAATACATTCTGTGTCAACATGAGAAAAGAGAGACACATTGCGGCTTGCAATCTCAATAAACATCATTGAGAAAGAAATCCTCAAAACACTAACAATCTCCATCTAAAGAATCTGTTATCTTCAGACAAGTTATTTAGGCACCTGAGTGGTTAGGCAACAGTCCACACTCAAAATTCTGTATTTGAAACTTTTATACTGCAAAAACCTGGTACAATTTCTTTACATGGTATAGTCATAGTCCTGACTATGGTCCTGTAGTATAAATGTTACATTACTGTAAAACCTACTCTGTAAGTAGTTGCAAGCCATGCACTGAAAGATTAATATTTAATACTAAGCCAGAAAATAATAAGAAACTAAAATTCTACAAACTATTACCAAACAGAGAAAGACAAACCACAATCCTTTCTAAATGCCAACTACTAGAAGATTATGAAATTACTATAGTCATGAAATAAAAAATCTTGGAAGCTACACTGCCATTACACCATGCACCTGCCAGGCCACCATATCTTGTTTAAAAAGGACTTTACTGCATTCTTTGAACTGCTGACAAATGAATAATTCCATAAAGCATCTTGGAAGTGACAAAATCATCCAAAATACAAGCAAATATCACTCAATTAATTTTATTTTAATTTTTTCAGTGTGTCAGACATATCTCCATAAAGTTTCCACTATGTTCAAACATTTAATTGGTGATATTCTATCTGTCACATCACCAGTTATGAGCCCTCAACCCAGATGATTATGAATCAGTTAGGAGATCATTGCACTCCATTTTCATTAGCTAAATGTATAGCTAATGACTCTTGTCTGCACGATTCTTTTAATGACTTTACATAACAATGTCTTTTATCATACAGTAGTAACTCTGCATTCTGGTTAGGTCAGACTTTGTAAATTGTTTTGCATAATAAAAGTAGACACCTTAATTTCAACTTGTATTTAAGATAATCATTCTATTGTTGTCACAAAATAAACTTTTAATGTAACTGATAAACACTTTCAGAAACATAGATGCTTATATTCCACCCGATTAAAAGACCAGTATGGGTGATACTAATTCTGAACTCATATAATGAAGTAGCACTAGGAAATACATGATAAAAAAACTTTCATTAGTTTGTAATTGCTTGTGATGCTCTTCATAAAGATGAAGACTTAATTTATCCACAGTTGTTTACTAAATAAGATGTATATGCAATAAAAACTATAATAAAATGCATTTTACAACATAAGAGTAAAAAATATCCTTATGCTTAGCCTCCTTTTTGTCTTTTGTGAAGTTCTATAGACTCAAAAGACACCACCTCTCTATGAAATGGATCACTTGTCAGTAGTACATCCACTGTCATAACACTTGAAAGAGATCATGTCATGAACGGAAGGAAGCTTAAGGTAAGCTGTAGAGACTGAAGTGATGTTTCTTGAAAAGGAGAAATCCTGTAACAGATTATCTATAATACCTTCATTTCCTTTTCCTATCCCAACTCCAACAGAAACATACATTGACTTCATTTGTCAAAGTGATTCAAATTTGTTCGACTTGTTATTGATCTTGGATGGCCATGTAGCATTTCACTCTGAAGGGCCTTCCATCATCAACTCAGTAGAAAACTTTGCCTCTCCTGCCACGTAGGCCAAAATAATCCATGCATTTGCCATTTAGCAGCTGAAACTCAGTGAGAAGACTACTATCAACTCCAAGATGGTGTAAAATCTAGCTACCTGTCTCCTTGTCGCTCAAACCAATATCCATGCTCTCCCAATTGCCCCCTCACTTCTACTTCCCATAATACGTTTAACATGTTTGCTGCAATTCAGAATTTGTTTTCCTTCAAAACAGCTAACAGTCAACATCTAAACTCACTAAAAGCAGTGTTCAGTGTATGAATTTAAATACATCTTTGGTTAGATATGGCAGCTATAATACCTGGAAAAAGGCCTATAAAAGATTAAATGGTGCATAACTTTTTTTTAAATAAATTCACATTATATTAATAATTTCTATTTTACCAACAATGTCATCTGCAAGGCCAAATATACTAACCCTGAAAAGATTTATATTATGAAATGAAATAAAAATCTATTATACACTCTTCTTTGTAACTGTTTATGTCAATATTTCAGTATCTCCCAAATCTTTTTTATTAAAATGAAACTAAAAATTTTAGTTTGAACTGTCCATGATAATTAGATTAGTATATGATGATTATGAATATAATAGCAAAACTTATCAGCAACACTCAGAATGCATGCAAAGGAATTCCTAGAGGATATTTCAAAACTTTAATTAATGTAAGGTTCTTTATGGTATAATAAAAGGATTTTTTTTTTACAAAAATAAAGTTTCTAAGTGCAGTCTCAGGTGTTTCAATAATTTTTTTCATGTATCTTAACATCCAAGCAGCATCTATTCCATTTTCAGGGAGAAGGTTTCCTTATCTTCTATAATCCCAAAGCAAACTGAGCACCTCATATTGAACACTGGAAGAAATAAAGAGGCAGCCAGATTTTCACATTATCATTTATACAACTTTAGGTTCACAGAACTACTCTACAATGAATCAAGCACTTTTCCTTCACCTGTTTTAATTCATTTCAAATATATTAATTTCTACAGTGTTTTTCCCTTGGTGTGGTCTCAGAAGAGAACTGCTGAAGGAGAAAATCATATAAATCACTACAGAAGTTATTTCATTTATGTGCCTAGATGGAAAATCGCATTCAATGTTATATGAATATGCATAGCCAGAAACCATAGACTATAATTCTGTTTTTCCCCTAGCTTCAGAAAGATTCAAAATTACTAGGGGTAAAAAAATGCACGACCTTCGATAAGTCTGAGAGCAAATGATGGTGAGTAGCACCGCTAGAGGAGAAAGCATTCAGTTAACCAGAGTTTAGATTAAGCAAAGGTCAATTCAGCAGTTACACTAGAGTCCTGTTCTCCTCACAGGGCAGCAGCTGCTCCATCAGGTGGCTTCCAAGTGTTGGCATGCAGTGGTAAATGCCAGCAGGAGTAATTGTGTTACACTCCGAAGAAACGAAATAGAGGTATTTTTTCTGACTTTGAGCACAAGGGGGTAACACATAGCTTCTCAGGAGCAACTTGCATACAATTTGCTCCTCTGTGGTAACTGTTTTTGTATGTGAAATCCATGAACTTGAGCTAGTTAGCCCTCATTAAATGAATACGTGAGTACTGCAATATTTCAGATATATGATGAGATGTTGGCACACAGTATATTTCCAAAGTATATTTAATTTGGAGTCTTATTTCCTTTAAAAATATTTTTTTTCTTTTTTTTTTTCTTTCAGTGCATGCAGACCAAAACTGCTGGTTAGTGCTATTATTTCTTTGTTTCAGTTTGACATGCCTCAGAAACACCCTGCTTGTTCAGGAAGTCTGAAAACAAACACAATAGCACAGTCTAAGAGCATAAAAATTCTGAGTGCATTAGCAACAACATGCTAGCTAACAATGTGCCAGAAGGAGAAGTGCAGTAAGGCATAGCTGAGGGAAGCATTAGCAAATGTGATCTCATTCCAGTCACTGTATTACTTATATTTTTATCAAAACAAGAACTTAACTTTCCATAAATTGTTTTTTCCTACATTTAATAAGGATATCAGACTGATGATGCTGAATAAGAACTGAAACATCATACTGACAAGTTCATGACTAATGCATGACAAAAATGTCTACTTTGAGATATTTCTTATATGATCACTAAACACAGAATCCAGTTAGGCAATACTCTTATCCTTCATGTCTTTTAGTCTTTTCTTTCTGCGCAACTAAATACACCAGTTACCAGGTGCTAGACTGCATTTGCAGTTACGTAGAGTATAACTGGGTAAGGAAGTAAAAGAGCTGAAACTATTCCTTGGTAGAACCAGAAACTACAAAATGTGCAGAGCAAAGGGGACAAATTTTCAAAGAAACCTCAGTATCCTCTCCCTCTGAAAGAGATTATGGTCCTAATTCCCACCTCCACTGGTAACAGTTGCAGTGGCACATAATATTAATTTGTAGATAACAGACAAGGCTGCCTACCATAATGTTTGGACAAAGTCAGGACTACATCAGAAACAATTCTTTCGCAGAGCTCTGGAGCCAAAATGTATATTGCGATTGTGCTGGTGTGACTAAATAGGGGTACAGAATGCT